GATCACAGCAAATTAAAAAGCTTTTGCACAGCAAAAGAAATCACCAACAGAGTGAAGAGTCAACCTACAGAATGGAAAAAAAAAAAAAAAAGCTTTGCCAGCTACTCCTCAGACAAACGACTAATATCAAGAATAGAAGGATTTAAGAAATCAGACCCCCCTCCAAAGTGAAAGACCCAATCCAAAAATGGGCATCTGAAATGAACAGACATTTCTTAGATGAAGAAGTACACATACCAAATAAATATGTGAGAATGTTCTACATCACTGGCCATTCAAGAAATGCAAATTAAAATAATACTGAGATATAACACAAAGAATGGCTATCATCAAGAAGTCCACCAACAAATGATGGTGAGGCTGTGGGGAAAAAGGAACCTTCTCCATTAGTGTTGGGAGTGTAAATGATAAAACCACAATGAAAGTCAATAAGGAAACTCCTCAAAAAACTAAAGCTAGAAGTTCTTTGATCCAGATATTGCCCTTCTAGGTATCTTCCTGAAAGGTTAAGAACATCATACTACAGAAGCCAATTTGCCCCTCTCATGAGCCAGTGGCAGCCATGCAGAGCCAGGAGGAAAAACATGAAGCCAATTGATCCTTCCTGTGAACCAGCAGGTGCAAGGACTGGGAGACAAGAAATTCCTCTCCTCCCTCATAAGCAACCAGCTGACTCAGAGGAACACAGGCTGAGTTGATGGCAACTCAAGTACAAAAACAATTCAATGCTTGTTTTGTTTGATTGACTTTGCAAGCCTAAAGCTGGTAGTCTGAGCATCTATTTAGAGGATAGCAATATACAATATGGCAACTTCCTTCCATTTGTCTTATTTTTGAAATCCAATATTGTTCTCTCTGTGTTTTGTTCTGTTACTATTCATTACGGTTTTGTTTTAGTCAATGTTCTATCTTGATTGATTTTATTCTGTTTGCTTTGTTTGATTTCATTATGTCTGAAGGTATGGGCAGCAATTTTGAAGACAGAAAGACGCATTATGTTAGCCTTTGTTGATTTCCTATTATCCTGTTTTGAAATCCTGTATTGCTTTCCCTGATTTGTTTTGATTGACTTTAGTCTGTTTTATTTTGTTTGGTTTTATTCTCTTTAAAATAAAATTTAAAAAAAATCATGCTACAGTGATGTATACCCATGTTTAGCAGCAAAGTCATAGTAGGTAAATCTTTGCCCATCAACAGATGAATGGATAAAGAAAATGTATTTATGTTCAGCAGAGTAGTGCTGTGCCATAAAGAAGGATTGACTTAATTCATATTAGGAAAATGGATGCATTTCGAGACCATAACGTTAACAAATCAGACATGCAAGCTTAGTATCATGTGTTTTGAGTGAGTGAGAAATCCAAAGAGGTAAATAAGGCGCAAATGGAGGACAGATGTTCAGAAGTAGAAAGAACGCGTTCAAATCGGAAGGAGAACAGGATGGGGAGGAAAGAAGAAGGGAATTTTTAAAAGATCGAGTGAATAGAAAGAACACAATGGAAACAGAGCTTTTGTAGGTGGGGAGGGGAAGAAGGGTTGAAAGGAGGGGAGGAGAATGGGGGACAGAAAGAATTATGATGTTAGGTGCAGGCACAGATTCCCCATGATGAATATCGTCACTAGGAAGGACAAACCTGTACTAATAAAAATTAATGATAAAAAATAAAAATAGAATCAAAGGGCCTTGTGCATTGCATGGGACTTGAACTCACTCCTGAAGAAGGCCTTGACGCTTAGGAATGACGGAGACAGACGGGGACACAAGGTCAGAATTGCTGCTGTCTTCCATCGGGAGCATCATTTGAAGGACACTTTTTAAAGTCAGAGTTCCCCAGGGATCCAGAATCAATATGTGAATTTTTAGAGGGGTTTTGTTAGGTCGGCTTACGAGGCCCGAGTTTGGATAGTCCCACAGTGGCTCTCTGCAGGCTGGCGTCAGTCATAGCTGCCCAAATTAAGAAGCTGGAAACCTCAGAAGAGAGAAGTCAAGACCTGAAAGCTTTTGCTGGGGCAAATCTGTGTTCAAAGGCTGAAGAGCCGTCCCGCGAACTGATGGCCACGGAGGCACCAGCTGCAGAAAGCACACTTGCTTGGTGCAGTGTGCAGGCCCCTCTTCCGGTTTAGTATTTCCCTCCGGGCTTGCCCATCAGAGACACTACTGATGCCCAGAGCCAGTCTTCCCCTCCCAGGCCACTCACGGGTCCCCACACCCGTCCTCGGCCTCAAAGACACTCCCAGACATGTGCCTCATTGAATTTCCAGATAGCCAGTTCAGTCCACAACCAAATTAACTAACAGAGAGCCTGAAGGAGGCCTAGGCTACCGGCTGTCCCCAGGGGAAGGCACCAAACCCGAACAGTAACAAGGCAAGGGTGCTCAGGGGCCCTGGATTCTAAAGTTCTTAAGAAGGATGTGGGCTCTGTGAGGTACAGCGGATGGGTGGGCTGAGGTCTGGAACCTGCTAAAACCATCAACCAGCACAGGGTGACAGAAGGACAACTGACTTCGTAGTGTCTCCAGGACTCCTTAGAGTTTTACAGTGCACAGTGACACTGGGCAGCCGTGGTGTACTGCGTTCTCGGTGTAGTTGGGTGGGTTACTTGCAAACTCTCCTCTCTCCAATACCCTGTGAAATGTGTGGATGTGAAGGTCAGTACTGCTTCATAGGATCCCGCCAAGCAGATCCCTGTGTCATCCAGGTCACTGTTCATTCGTTCATTTGGTTGATCAAATATTTATCAGATGCCTCTAAGAGCTCGTGTGCAGCTTACATTTTGGTGGTAAAGGCTCAAGGAGAGAGGAATCACATGCACAAAGAAGATGCCCTTCTGATAGGGATAAATGCTGCTTAAGAAGTAAAGTAAGAGAGGCCCAGGCTGGGTGGGCCGAGTGTGTGTGTGTGTGTGTGTGTGTGTCTTTAAGGACAATAGTTGGGTCTGGGAGGAGGAAACCCACCGGGGGCAGGAGCTGGCTTGGCCCACAGCCTTGTGGGAGCCTCACCTCTTGCCTGGATTGTTGCTAAGTGGCCTCCCTGCCACTTTTCCTTCTGTCATCCTCTGCGCGGTGACTGGAACAATCCTTTCAAAGCAGGAGGCAGCTCCTCCCCTCAGAACCCTCCAGCCTGTTCACCTCATGAGTAAGGGTAAGAGCTGAAGTCCTCAGGATGCCGGCCGGGCCCTCGGCAGCCCGGTGTACCCTGCATGGCTTATCCCTTACTTGCCCCCTGACCAGTGTGTCACAGGCTCCAGGGACTGTACACAGATTTGAAGATTTGCTAGGACAGCGCAGGGGACCCCGCACGGAGTTATTATATTCAGTGCATGCTCTTGTGCGGGAGAGAGGAGCCTGGCGAAATGCACAGCTGGGGGAAGTCCACAGGGTGAAGTTCTGAGACCAGGCAGCAGCATCTAAGAGTGCTCACCTGGTGGTGAGCACAGGACAGGTTCCTTCACCCGCCAGTGGGTGCTAATAACATTCTCGGAGTGCTCTCTATTAAGGAGGCTTGTTAGCTGCTCAGAACCCCGTGTTTTACTGAGGATTTGCTGTGTAGATTGGTAGCCTCCACCTAGCATGTACCAATTCCAGACCCTGTAAAGAAAACAGGAAAAGCAGATATTTGGTAAATTGTATTGTTCACACAAACATTTTGGCACTGTGAGAGGGTTTGTTTCTGGTGGTGATGGGACAGAACCCTGGTCCCTGTACATGCTGGCCAGGTGCTCTACTACTGGGCTGCATTCCTAGTTCCTAGGAAGCTACTTTTATTATTTTTATAAGAAGTGGTAGGGAACTTCCCCAAATCTGAGTCTCTGGGTACAAAAAAGAACCAACTTTGAAATCAGACCTTTCTAAGGGAAAGTGACCTCAGGCCTGCTAGGTCTCCACGGTTTGAAAAACAACTTTTCAATATGACCTCTCATCATATTTTTTAAGAAAACAATTCTTGATTTGTATTGAGAAACTGGGAATTGAACCCATAGATATTCTACCACTGAGCTACCTTCCCAGACCTCTTATTTTATTTTTTATTTTGAAGCACAGTCTTGCTAAGTTTATTGGGCTGGCCTTGGACTTGGAACCCTCCTGCCTCAGCCTCCCTAGTAACTGAGATTACCATCCCATTTAAAAAAACTGCAGCAGAATTCCTGCCCTTCCCTCGTTGTCTGATTTTCCTCCATGGCACTGGTTTCTGTCTAAGATGCTGTCTGACCTGTGTGCAGCTTGCTGTTCATTGCCTACATCTCCCCATACCCTAGAAGTTTCACGAGGGCAGAGAGTTTGGCCTGCTGTACCACCCACCCAGGCACCCAGATAGGACAGTGCTTCCTACATGCAGACAGGTGATAAGCAAGTGAATGGATGCTTAGAAAAGGAAAATGTGGCATATTTTCTTAGAACTAAGTGAGTTATGCAGAAAGAGGAAAGAATCCAGCTGCTGAGCAGAAGGGCTGAGGGCAGGTGGGACCTCGGGCTGAGCCAAGCGTGTTGCCAACGCTACCAGGAGGTCCGCATGCCTTTCTCACCTTCAGCCTGCCTGCCCCTCTTCTTGGGGCCAAGGGTCTCTTTCTTTCTTTCCCTTTCAATTTCTAGCAGATTCGGGGTCTCTCATTATGTGCAAGATCTGCTATGCTTTTCTGCCCTCGAGGTTATCAGGATTGTAATAGTTTGTCTTTAGTTATTATCTCCATTTGCCATTAAACCATGAATTCCTGGTGTGTGGGAACTATGACCTCAGTGTGCAGCCCAGAACTCCATGAATGTCACAGTGAGCATGTGGCAACTGCTGGCATCGCTTCCCACAGTCGGGCTTCCTGAGCAGATCTGGGTGAGCCTAGGCCAGGCGATTTCTGGGGCATTGAACCTCCCTGCTCAGGCCTGAGTCAGCCGGACCTCCACAGCCTCCTTCTGGGTTCCCAGCACGCAGTGCCAGGCAGTTGTCAGCCTCACGATGCCCGGCTCCTGTGCCAGCCTCTCACACCTGATAGATGTCCCTTCTGCAGGAGCCCTTGGAGAAGGCACAGCTGCTCACCCTGGCCGGAGACCAGCTCATCCAGAGCCACCATTACGCAGCGGATTCCATCAGGCCCAAGTGTGCAGAGCTCAGGCACCTCTGTGACGACTTCATCAATGAAAACAAGAAAAAATACAACATTTTAGGGAAGTCCCTGGAACTGCACAGACAGCTGGACAAGGTGAGCAAATGGAATGGCAAATATGCAAGAGTTGGTTTGGGTTTTAAGAGGGTTTAGCGGGCAGCCTGTGTGCTGAGCTGGACCTTCAGCCCTTTTTAGTTTGTTTGGAGACAAGACCTCTGTAAGTCACTAAACTGATTAGTCTAGGCTTGAACTTGGGATCCTCCAGGAGCAGTGGGATTACAGATGAGAGCCACCACCACTGGCTGTAAAACAGTTCGGTCATCTTGGTTCTCCTTCCTCATGAGCTGGCTGAGAAGAGCGAGTATTTTATATAAAAAGTGCCCTATGTAAAATAAAAAATGCTTAGGAGACATTAAAAACTTGTGGATTTGAGGTCTGAGCAGCACAGGAGGTAAAAAGCACCCTGGTCTTTCTATGGAGAAGCAGACTTGCAAAGCACGTTTTGGCCTCGTCCTGTGGGCATATTTCTCAAGTACCTTCCAGGTCCATAGAGAATCAAGCATTAGATTTGCAAAGTGCCTCATGAGAGGCAAGAGCTCATAAATGCTCTTAGAGAAGCTCGAGGGAGAATGAGCTTTGTGTACACCCTACCATATCTGGGCACCCACACTGTTTCTGCCAGGTACATCACTATGCCACCTGTTTAATCCTCCAGGCAGCCTGTGAGGACAGTACTAATGCCTCACCATACAGAGCAGAGAGTGGTATGCAGTGGGCCTCAGGACTTGGCACATGCGCCAGGCGTGGTGGCACACACCTGGAATCCCTGCACTCAGGAGGCTGAGGCAGGAGCCTCAAGTTCCAGGCCAGCCTGGGCTACACAGTGAAGTCCAGCCCAGCCTGAGCTATGTACTGAGACCCTGTCTCAAAAAACAAACAAACAGAAGACTTGGCCCTGTGGGAATTCCCTAGTGAGTGGGCTGTAACTGCAGATTCGCTGATGCAGTGCCTTGGAGACTCAGGTTTTTTGAGCCTGGGTGATGCCTAGGGATCTGTATTTTAGTGGAGTACCCAGGTGATGGTGCTACTGGTGCAGGCAGTCCAGGGTCCACACTGAGAATCCCAGGAGGAGTGATTATCTAAGGCCACCCAAGGTGTAAACAGGGGAAGCCAGATTGTCAGATTAGAGGGCAGCTCCTTAGGGTAGACAGCAAGGCCACACAGCAAGCCTCACAGGCAGAGGCGAGCCATGGCTGAGTTCCTCAGAAGCAGCAGTTGGGACTGCTGGCGTCTTCCCTGTCAGCTGTTCCCAGGCCACATATGGCCGGCTGATGGCCATGAGTCAGCACCCCACATTCCCACGGCTGCTTCTGTCCACCCAGGCTGTTTATAGCACCCCACTGCCAAGGGATTTTAACGTCAGTGAGTACAGCTGTCCAGAAGCAGGTGGCTCGGAAGGGGGTGCATGGCCTGCCCTGGGTGCCGAACTCACTGCCCAGTCCTCTTCCTTACTCTGCAGAGGGTGCCAGCTTGGCGTTTTCCACAGAGCTAAGCATGGTGTGTAAAGCGAAAGTCTTAAAGCACAGGGTCATATTAGCTTGAATATCCAAACCCGTAGGGATCCAAAGCTGTTAATCATGGCCACCTATGTCTCCCATTCCCTCTCCCTTCTCCACATGAATAAGCATTCATTTTTAAATGCCTTTTTGTGTTGTTATTTGAAATGTAATATGTATTTCTTGTCGATAATTTGAGGGGAGACAAACACTCAAGTTGTCTGTTATTGCCCTACTTAGAAATAAGCACCTTAGAGTTTTCTTTTGTAATCTTTTTACATTGGCGTGATTATTTTATGCCACTCTTCCGTTCCATGATAAATGTAAACACAGATGTACTTGCTCTGAAAACTCAGGCAGCACAAGAACCCCACCTGTCTGTTAGTGTCGGAGGGAAGTCCAATAAAAGAGCAAAGAAAATAAGTCACATCCATCTTTTTTCCTCCTTCTTTTTTGAGACAGAATCTTACCGTGTAGTTGAGGCTGTTCTTGAACTCACAGTAGTCCTCCTGCCTCAGCCTCCTGAGTGCTGAGATTACAGGCATGTGCTACCATACCCTGATTTTATCCAAACATCGGGAAAATTTGAGGATTAGTCTCTGAGTTACAAAGCTTCATATGCTAGGATTCTTCTGTAAGAAAGACAGATGCCAAGACACGGAAATGGGGATCCCGTGGGAATCCAAAGAGGAAAGCCATATTTGTGTCAGAAGGATGTCTCCTGCCCTAGGAAGCTCCTTCAGAGTCGGGCCTAACGCCTCACTTCTCACCCTGCGTTCTCGTGACTGTTGTGGGCATCACACTGATGGAGGGGCCTCAAAGCCACTGCATTTCTCTGTGGTCAACTGGCCTGGAAATAAAAATTTAACTTTCTGCTCCTGGAGATGCAGCGGTGAGTGGAAATGTGAAGAACATTTATCTGATTCACTTCATGGATTGAATGACTTCTCTGAGGTGCAGGCCCAGGTAGAAATAAGTTGGCCTCGTCTTCCTCCTAGTTTTCTTTACAATGGGGAGTGCCCTAAAATTGGTGCTGCTCCCAACAACTTCCCGTGGGCCCACCATCCTCCCTGTAGGCGCTCCAACCTGGGAGCGTGGCTCTTGTCAGGTAAATTGTGCCATGTTTTGTTTCTTTTTCTCGAAAGGTCAGCCAGTGGTGTGAGGCGGGCATCTACCTCTTGGCATCCCAAGCTGTGGACAAGTGCCAGTCTCGAGAGGGAATCGATGTGGCCTTGAATGACATCAAGACATTTCTAGGCACTGCCAAGGAGTACCAGTTGCTCAGCCCCAAGGAGTTTTACAACCAGTTTGAGCTGATACTCACCTTTGATGTCAAGGTACCGTTTCTGGGTTGTTTCGGCCCTGTGGCCAGGAAAGGAATGAGGGAGAAAGGGACTTTGCTTGTGGCCTCAGAATGGCCCTGCAAGAGAAACCAGGCAGGCTGTGTGAGACAGCCGGCTTTTCCCTGAACCCTCAGGTGGCCTCTGAGGCTCCTGGCCAGAATATCTTGGCAGAGACGTTCAAATTCAAATACTGCTCACATACCTCCTGCAGCCATTCATTTCCCCACAAAGACCTGTGAGCCTCTTGGTAAATCATGCGTGGCAGGGGGTGCCGAGGACACAGTGCTGAGTGGGAACAGCCCTGCTCCCATCCCACGTGGCGCTTGCAGTTTAGTGGGACCCTAATAAAATAATCCCACCAAGGAATGCATTTGAGCAGAGAGGAGTACCCTGAAGGCAGGAGCCGGGGGGGGGGGGGGGCATGTGACAGGAGAATGTGACCTGGACAGGGGTCAGAGAAGGCAGCACCTTCCTGGACAGAAGGAACAAAGCTAGAGGACCGTGACATGGTGCAAAATCCAAGGTCAGGATTGAGTCTAGAGAGCAAGGAGACATTATTTGGGCTGAGGTTAGAGAAGGACAGATGAGGTAGGGTTTTATGGGCCACATGGAGAAGTTTGGTCCTTGTTCCGTGAGCAGGGGGAAACCACTGAAGGACTGAACCAGGAAAAAACGCGTGACTGCATTTGCAGTCCGAGAAGATTGTTCTTCTGCTAAGTCAGCAGGCTGTAGAGGGCACAGCGTCCTTGGAGGTCAACAGCACCCTGTGTGGGCCTCTGTTTTAGAGACTTCTCCACCTTATGAGTAATGGACACTTTCCAGTATCTGACTCAAACATTTTCAGGGTTCTGTACTTGCAAAGTGGATGAAAGGAGTGAACATAGGCATTGTTGATGACCATAGGGACAGGATTTAGGGAACACAACAAAGGATGGCGGCGAACTCTGAATTAGCAAGAAGCAGGGAGCAGCTACTCCTGCTAACCCAGAAAGGCCAAGGGGAACCCAAGAAGAGCTGTGACCCTGAGAAAGGGCAAGCAGTGGGGATTTGGGTGAGAACACTGCTACAGTTTGGACCTGAAATGACCTCCAACGGCCCATGTGTTAGAGGCGTGGTCTTAGGTTTGCACTAATAGTGGAAGTGTTAAGAGGGGATCTTGGGGTTACTGGGAGTGTGGCCTTGAAAAGGCCCTTGGGGGGCTGGGGATTTAGCTCAGCGGCATAAGCGCCTGCCTTGCAAGCAGGCAGTCGTGAGTTCGATCCCCGGTACCGATAAAAAGGAAAAAGACCAAAAAAAAAAAAAGAAAGAAAGAAAAGGCCCTTGGGCCCCCAGCTTCTCCTCTTCCTCTCTCTTTGCCTCCCACCATGAGCCGAACAGCTTGCACCACTGCACACTCCCCCCCGATGCCGTCCTGCCTGTCCATTGGCTCAAAAGGAATGGGGCCAAGTGATCCTGGAGTGGAATCTTAAAAACTGTGACTCAAATTAAACCTTTCTTCTTTTTAAGTTGGTTATCATAGGGGTTTTGTTACAGTAACAGAAGAGTAAACACAGCTATATACTCCTTTTTTTTTGTTTGTTTGTTTCCCTCTGATTTGGCAGTGATACTTTCCATTGCTGTAAACCAACCAAAAGCCCACAAACTCATCTGATGGAGTTCTAGAAGATGTTTCTTGGGGCACAGCACAGGGAGAGATGCAGCGGGGCTACTAATAGAGACTCTATGGCCTGTACCACTTTTTACAGGGGGAAAATCCTGTAGCTTTTCCCTGGAGCTAGGTCAAGAATCTACGCTGTCATATGACACGATTTACTTACATTTTGGTCATCTGTTTGTAATGTCTGTCTTGTTTATGGCACTGGCAGCTGCTGACAGGCAGGGTCTGTGCCTCCCCCATCCTCGTGCCCTTTTGCCTACTGTGCGGCCCGTGCAGGTTGAACAGCGGGCAGGCAGAGGCCACAGGAGCAGCTGGCATGGAGCTTTACCTAGACAGCTCTTTTCCTGCCTCCTCCCAGTGAGTTTTGGTCATGAGATGGGATCTTGGAGTGGGGTGCAGGGTGGGTAGGCCACCTTCCCCCAAGACAGGGGCCCTGCCACTCCCCACATGTGCACAAGGGACAAAGAGAAGGTGGTGTTGCACTGCTGATCACAGCATCAGCAGCTCCAGGTCAGAATTCCTGAGGCTGAGCATTCAGCCCAGCTGGCCGGCTTGGAGCTGTCAAGAGAAGTGAAATACGTCAGCCAGGGAGCCCTGCCGCAGCTGAAGTTCCGAACTCCTGCAGCAGATAAATCCTTCCCCCCTCAGTCACCTGCCAGAAGGTGAATAAAACATAATAAACCACCTCCAAGAAACACACAAAGCATGGCTGAGTGGAAGGATTAGAAGAAAAATAATCATCATAAATCCTGTCTCTAAAAGGAACCAAAGCGCATGGCTGTGCTTTGTATGTTCTTTCCAAAGTCCCCAGTGGAATTCAGTCTCAACTGTGACCCCCACTGGAGAGTTAGTTACTCCAGATGCAAGGGTACATTTGGCCCCGGCCTGCTCCTGTCTTACACACAAACTTCCCAAGCATGTGATGTCCTCCACCCTGTTGTGGCACAACAAGACAGGCCTCTTCCGATGCCTGACATCCTTTAGGACCTGGGTTCCAACCTTCTGATTTACTCAGTCCACATCAAGTGAAGGGCCACATATTAGCCGGGTGTAGCAATGCATGCCTATAATCCCAGCACTCAGGAGACTGAGGCAGAAGGATTGCTGCAAATTCGAGACCAGCCTGGGCTACAAAGTGAGCTCAAGGCCAGCCCAAATGGCATAGCAAAAAGAGACCCAAAAAAATGTTTTTAAATTATTTGGGTGCTTTTTTGAGAACTACTGTACTCAGTATTAGACATTCTGTCATATGTGCAGAAAAGACACAGTTCTTTTCTTTTTCTTTGGACTGTGATTCTAGGTTATAAGATTAAATATCCCATTGAGTCAGAGAGTGAGTTTTATCCACTGGAAGGTGATGACTTGGTTTTCAACGCCAGTGCTCTCCATTGCCTTACACAGGGGGACACATGCAGGTTGGTGCAGGCACATGTACTTCCTTACACAGGTGGCTGAAAGGGTGATAAGCAACAAGGCCACCGTGTGACCACCAAGGCCTTGTTTTCTAAAACCATTCTCAGTTAGAAAAATGAAACCAGGGCTCCTTGGAGAGACAGCTGCCTCCAGAAACACATAAGACGATCTGGAGCATTGCACGGTGGTGCCGGGAAGCAAGGATGCTGTAGAGCAAAACAACAGTGGTGGGATGTGAGAGCCGAGGGGAAGAGCAGCCCTCGGGGGCAAGGCTGGAAATGCTGAGCAAAAAATGAATAAAATGGGCTAAGACTGTAACTCGAAGGGGCCGGGGACAGCTCAGTGGCACAGCGCCTGCTTGGCAAGCACAAGGTTGTGAGTTTAAGTCTCAGTACCAAAAAAAAAAAAAAAAAGCTCCGAGATTACAACTTAAAACACTGATACAAATGACATGAGCAGGAAAGAGGAAATGAATTGCCCAGGCAGAATTCCAGATTATTGTGTCAATACTGTACCCTCAGTGTAATTCCCTGCCCCAGAAGTGTGGGCTGCATGTTGAAACTTTTCCCCAAAGAATATAAAAGAAAGGGAAATAAGAGCATAGCTAGGAGAGTGTAGAAGCTTCACAGATGCCACCATACCAGATGATCCAGGCCACCATCACCAGTGACAAATCACAGACCCGAGGCTCCCTTGATAAGACAGGATGACAAGCTTGGCCTCTCCTCCCAGTCTAACTGTGAGGAGGGCATTAGACGAATCCAGCCAAAGGACATTCTATAACCTCCCTGACTGGTACCCATCATACAGCTCAAGATCATCAAAACCAAGGAAAATTTAGAGACGATCAATGGTTAAGAAGACATGACAGCTGAATGTAATGCTTTGTCCTAGGGAGGAACTAAGAAATACAAAGTACATCTTTAATCATTGCCCTAGCAATATCAGTTCAAAGACGTTAGCTGTAGGGGGAGCTGGTACGGGGTATAGGAAATTCTCTGTCCTACTTTGCAATTTTATCATCAATCTCTTCTGAAAAAAAAGTACAAAACTTGAAAACTGGCCCATCTCTGCCTAAAGCTTGGATCTGTTGCACTGAAGGTCCAGTGACTGCGAACCACAACAGAAATTCAACTGCTGTTCTTAGAGGAGCCACTCTGTGACTGTCAGGGGCTCTTCCAGTACTTTCTTGGAAGTGTTATGGGGCCACCCTTAGCCCTCAGAAGTGTTATAGGGCCACCCTTAGCCTTCATTTGCCCCCACTATGGAGGACAGGGTGTGAAACCACCTCAGTAGCAAACAGCAATGTGTGATTGTTCACTTCCCCATCAGGTACACAGTGTGCACCAAGCACACTGGGCTGCTTCCTGGGAGGACGACCATGAGAGTCACGGTCCTTTTGATGATGCAGGTGCAGCAGCCTGATGCAAGACAAGCACCTTCCCAGTTGATGTTCTCTAGGTGTTCTCCAAAAACACCTAAAGGAAGGGACAGTGACACAGGGGACAAGATGGTCACCGTGGCTTAGAGAGACCAGAGTACAAGAAGTGATTGAGAAATATGATGAATGCTTCCATGTTAAAAATGTGTCATGATAAAAGACACATTGCCATGAATCCCCCTCGAAATACTCCCCTTCCTTTGAACACAGGGGTCCTCTCATTGTTGCCACTTCCTGAAGCAGTTGTGAAAGTCCTCTTTCCTGAGTGTCTTTATGAGGTAAGATAAAAATCAGTGGGCCAGGGATGTAGCTCAGTGGCACAAGCACCTGCCTGGCTAGCACCAGGTCCTGAATTCAATTCCCGCTATCAAAAAAAAAAAAAAAAGGCATCAGTGAACACCGCTGCCAAACGCCATCCAATGGAAAGACAGGCTCTTAGCACATCACGGCATGTCCTCGCTCTCCTTATTCCCCAGACCTGACACTGCACGGCTTCTGGCTCTGCCCAAAGTAAAAGTGATTGTGAAAGGGAAATGTGGAATTAATGCAAGATGCCAACGCAGTCACACAGTGCAACTGAAGACACTCAGGAAAGAGAACTTCCAGAACTGCTTTAGAGAAGGGCCAGAGCGAGAGATAAGTGTGTGTGAAGCAAGTGTTTTAGAGAAATTAATGATGATGTACCCTTTACTGTAACAAAGTTCTTTCTAATGTAAATATATGCTGTATTTTCCTCATATCACACTTCACATTCCACACTGTAGAAGATGCCTACATTACGTCTTCAGGATTTGCAAGAGTGGTTCAGGGAAGCAGTGGAGGTGGCACAAGAGGTGCCAGGCTGCAGGACGTGGGGCAGAAGGGTGTAGAGCATCCCTGGTGGGAGGGAAATCGAGGTCAAATCATGGGAGCCTAGCACTCCAGGACAAGGGATGGGGACTTTGTCCTGGTGTAGGTGGAAGCTTCTGCTGGGCTCTGAAACAGGCAAGTTATGTGATCAGCAACACATTCTAGGAGGATCGTGACCACTGCAATATGGACAATGGATTTGCAAGCAAAAAGAGGGCAGGGAAAAGCAGGAAGTGCAGTTGCAGGACTTTACTCAAGCTGAGGACTTCAGGGCCTGGTCTGCCTGTTCCCACCCGGAAGTTACACCCCAAAGTGTCCTGAGCCCTCGACCAGCGTGGTCTGCCCTGTGCCTGGCGTTGGTTCAGGGAGTCCGATTTCACATGCTGCCTTCATGCAGCATTAACACTAACGTCTTGGTCCTCTCGGGCTCATCTCTAAGCCACAAGGGCAGGGTACAGGTTCACCCCACAGACAGGCGTCAGGCTGGTGTGCCAAAGAAAAGGCTGCCCACTTCCCCTGACCACCAGAGCTGAAGGACGTGAGCCTTTGTCCCAAAGCAGGCAGTCCGTCTTTCCCCTGTTATTTCTTTTATGTGTCTCTTTCCTGCTTCACACTGGAGAACTGTGAATGTGTGTCCTTTTCATCACAGGTCCTTCTTGACTCCCTTGCTCCTGCCTCAAAATTTAGCCACTCTTTCCCCCTAAGAATACTTAATTCCCTTTCCCATTGGGCCTTTGTGTCTGACTTTGAAATCCTCCTGTTTTGAACATTGGTCTAAAACTCTTCACCTGAGTCTTTCAGTTCATGAATGTGGTATAAATCTCACTTACCGCCGTCATGTTTAATTCCCCTCAAAACTGTAGTGGTTTTGAGTATAAAAGTCATAGGCATTTTGCCATATGGTCAGTGGAGTTTACTGTACGTGACATCTTTTTGACCATGGACCGGCATGGTTAAGCGAACATTTATCCACTCGACAAACATTTACCAAGTACCAGTTACCCACAGCAGTGGGCCAGTCAGTGTCCCAGGTGCTGGAGATACAGGAATGGAGAGAACATGGCCGTGGCTCCCAGAGCTCTCAGCTGGGCACACAGGCTGTTAAAAGATTCTGGAGCAAAACAAGACTTTGCACAGTGACTTGCACAAGGATGGCCAGAGACGGCAGAGCTAGAGGGAAAGGGAAGGAAAGGGGATGCCCGGCGCCTGCGGGCTCAGCAGAGCCCTGTTGAACCTGACTTGTTTCTGTTCCTGCAGGTCAAAACCCAGAGAGTCTTGCAGAAGCTCGCTGACATGCAGGAAATCTTTCATAAGAGACAAGTGAGCCTGATGAAACTGGCGGCCAAACAGACCCGCCCAGTGCAACCCGTGGCCCCCCATCCTGAGTCCTCCCCAAAATGGGTGTCACCAAAACCCAGCCAGCCCTCCACCTCGGGTAGGTTCTGCTTCCCCAGTGCCTCTTTGAGAGCTGAGATCGTGGTCGTCTAAGTGGTCAGGGCCTTGCCAAATATGATTGAAGGCGAAGTGTCTATGTGACACAGTGCAGATATGGAAGACTTTACTCCCATAACACCAGGGACTCCGTGTAACAAAAGGCTCTGAGTCTGGTAAAGGAATAATACAGTCACATAAATAAAGTTAGCTTGGAATTGAGCCCCTCAAGGGTGGTAGAAGGTTTGTGATCTATTACCAGCCAGGTGCTAAAATTGGTTCTTTGCAAAGATTTGTTTTAAAAATCGGATGAGTCCTTACACCAGCCCCACAGTCTTGATGGCTGTAGCTTATTAGGAAGCTTTAAGATCAGGTCACGCCACTTTCTTTTTCAAGATTGTTTTGCTTATTTTAGGTCTTTATAAATTTTGGAATCGTGTTTCAATTTCTGCTAGCATTGGGACTGGGGTTGCACTGAACATACGGATCAATTTGGGGAGAACTTGTCTTACAGAGGAGTCTTTCAGTTCATGAATGTGGTATAAATCTCACTTACCGCCGTCATGTTTAATTCCCCTCAAAACTGTAGTGGTTTCGAGTATAAAGGTCATAGGCATTTTGCCATATGGTCAGTGGAGTTTACTGTACGCGACTCACGTAAAACACTTATGTACAATGTACGGACATAGAATCTGAAGGGGCCCGCTTGACTCCTGCTTAGGTATGTGTGCTTTTTCGCCTTACTTGCTATAACTGGGACCCACAGTACAATATCAAGCAGAAGTGGTGAGAACAGATGTTTTTGTCTTTTCCCAGTATTAATGGAAGGAGTTCACGTTTCACCTTTAGCTATGATGCTGCCTGTAAGTTTTCCGTGTATGCTTTATACAGATTGATTCCTAGTTTTTTGAGGGTTTTTATCAGGAATGATGGTTGAGTTGTTCAGAGGTTTTTCTTTTTTTTTTTTTTTTTTTTAAAAAAAAGCAAAACAGAAAAAAGGATAGAAATGATACAGAATTTCAAAACAAAATAGGAAATTAATACCCGTTAATATATTGCACATTGTTATCTTAGAAGTAGTTGTTCAGGTTACAAGATTTAGGCACAAAAAATGATCAATCAGTCAAACAATAAAAGCGAAACTGTTCTTTTTGATGAACTAACAGAGATTAGTAGCACAGTTATCTATCTTGTGTATATACATACACACACATATATGTATACCTAAATATATAGATATAATCTTTTTCTTTCTTTTTCCTTTTCTCCTTTGCTCCATCTCAGTTGTTCTTTCCTTTTTTGCACTTTCTTTCCTTTTCATTTTCACAATCGCTATTGTACATTTTGGATCTTACTACTCTTTCATTTTTTTATACTAGGGAGACAATATATTTACAAATGTGGGTTTGATTTATTTCACTTATGAGTATGGCTTCAAGTTTCCTCCCTTTACTTATAAAAGCCTCAAGATTATCTTTCTTTACAGCTGAGTAATACTCCACTGTATAAAATACATCTTTTTTATCCATTCTGCAGTTGATGAGCATTTGGGTTGTTTCCAAATTTAGCAAACTGTGCTGCTATAAACATGGGTGCATTTATATCACATGGCATGATGTTTTCAGTTTTTTTGGAGAATACCCAGAAGGGAAATGGGACCTCCCATCCTAGTTTTTTGAGGAATCTCCATACAGATTTCCACAGTGGTTGTATCAGTCTACACTGCCACCAATAGTGGAGAAGGATTCCTTTGCATTTGTTATTGGTGGATTTCTTGATGGCAGCCATTCTTTCTGAGGTGAGCTGGAATCTCAGTGTTGTTTTAATTTGCATTTCTTGAATGACCAGTGATGCTGAACATTTCTTCATGTATTTATTTGCCATTTGTATTTCTTCATCTGAGAAGTGCACATTCATCTCAGATGCCCATTTTTGGATTGGGTCTTTGAATTTGGTGGGGGACTGATGTTTTTCAACTCTTTATATGTTCTAGATAAAAGTTCTTTGTCTGAGGGATAGTTGCCTAAAATTCTTTCCCATTCTTTGGTTGTTGTTGTTTTTTTTTTTTTTTTCACTCTGTTAGTGATTCCTTTTGAAGTGAAAAATTTTCAGAGGCTTTTTGGCATTAAGATATTGCCTGGCTTTCTCCATGCAATCCACTGTTAATATGTGTAGTAGATTACAGTGATTTTTTTCAAATGTTAAAGCAGGTGTATGCTCTTGGGATAAACTACTCTTGAACATGACGTGTAAGTCATCTGTCACATATATATCGTGAATCTGCGTTACTAACCGCGTGTATTCATAATGTTTCTGTTTTTCATTTCGTGTTTGCCCCTTACCTCTGGTAATGTTTTTAAGTATGTTTTGTGTAATATTAGTGTGGCAGCCACCACTTTTTATGCTTTCACATACACATGAGTTGCATTTCTATTCTTCTGTTTGCAATATATTTTGGAAGAATATATTTTTAGGAGGCCAGCAAATATTTTTTACAATTTACCTTTTATTCTTTATGTTTGCGACATATTTTTGTGGGAACATGTACTTCCATCTTATCTTCTTAATATATTTTATATTTTGTTTACATCTGTCTTTTAATTGGAGTGTTTAATCTACTTATATGCAATGTAATTATTGAAATAGTTGGATTCAAAATGGCTACTATTTTGTTATTCTCTTTCTCTCTCGCTCTCTCACTCTTTTACTGGATTCTGAACCACTTCTTTTTTTTTCTGTTACTTTGCCATTTTTGTCATGAATTACACAATAATGGGAGTGAATATATACAAGATTTTGAAACAGTTTCAGTGTGATCTTTTTCATTGTCTTTACTAAATGGAAACTTACAATTATAAATTAGATTACTACCTCAGAAAGTATCTAATTTGAATAGTGAGAGCTATGTGTTATTACAAAGAAAAAAAAGTTGTATCGAGCCCAAAGGAAGCAGTGATTAACTAATCCAAGTGGTCCAACAGGCTTAGGATGCAACTGTCACCTCCAGTGAAAGAATTTTGCATGCTCTTACCAACGTTATGGTATGTCAAATGTCTTTTAAAATCAGCAAGCCTTTAATAGCAATAAATTAGCTTGGGAGCAATTAAAGCAGCTGATAGTTCTCCTATGTAGCTAATTTGGATCCACTAATGGGCAAACTGAAGAATCTCCAGACTTCCTACCATAATCTAGCTTGTATTCTCAGCAGGGACCAGAGAAATTGAGAAATGGTAACAGGATACATTTTTTTAATTAAAAAAATTAAAAGAAAGAAGGAGATTAAGATAAAAGAGGACATAACAGGTCAGAACGGAACAACTTAAGCAACATAGTGTTTCACCACAAGTAACCCGACATAACAGTAGCTACCATAGTGTCTCTTTCCTTGAAATATTTGAGTATAACTTCATATATTATAGCATCAAACACAACATGACAGTGTAAAACCATTCAAGAGAATGAAAGTATTACAGGGTATTTAGAACCAACTAGCAGAAAATGAACAATGGTTTCTATATTATCTCCTTGTCTATAAAAATTTTTGTTTATACTATCACATATAATAAAATCCAGTAAGATACAACATGATAAACCAATGGAGACAGAAGAACCAAAGCTACATGGGACTTCAAAATAAGATGATATTATATCAGCACTAGCTATTATATTGTCCTGTTTTCTTCAAAATAACTGTTCATACCATCACAGACAACAAAATCAAACAACTCAGAATAGAACCATTCCAATTAATGAAAACATTATAAGGCTTCAAAGCAATAAAATGGGGAATCCTGAACCATTTATTTAGGAATGACCATGCACTTCCTTCATGCCTCAAATCCTACTTTGAATCAATATCTTGTTACTCTGTATAAACACAGGAAAATTTACACTGCACAATTTGAACTCAGCCTGGGCAACTTAGCAACTTAGTGAGACCCTGTCTCAGAATATCGAAAAAGGAGCCGGGGATGCTGCTCAATGCAAAGACGTAGAGTTCATGCCCCAGAGCCAAATAAGACAGATAATCAATCAAATAGGTTTTAAGATAGCTCATATTCTGACACTGAACTGGTATTAAAATGTTTAGATAGTCATTTGTCTTTTAATGAAATTAAGAAAAAGGAGAGAGAGAAAGAGAGATAGACAGAGAGAGAGAGAGAGAGAGAGAGAGAGAGAGAGAGGGACACTGAGGCTCCCAGGGTTTACTTTAGCATCTTATTGTGACCCCCAGTGCTCTTTATTCCTCCCCGTAGATCTGAAGTGGCATCTTGTCATCCAGCGTCTCTCTTCAGGGTAAGGAGCTCCTGTTAGCATTCCTTGTTGAGAGGTTGGCAGCAAGATTTTAGTTTTCATTTACCTGTAAATTATGGAGTAATTCTCCATTTAGTAAAATTCCTGGCCCCCGTCTCCCATTGTATACTCTACATTTTAGGAATAATCTTTTTCCTCTTTTTATTCGTGTATGTTTGTGATACATAATCAATCATTCATCGCGGGGAACATATATATGGGTGTATTGCATCTTGCTCCTTTTCACTTTCCCTTCTCCCCTTGCTGTCCCTCCAATTTCCAGCTGCTTTCTCATCTCCACAAAGTCTATCTCCCTGTTTTATTCCATCCATCATTTACTTTGTTCTTTGAATTATTTATACTTTGATTCCTCATAGAAGTAAAACCACATGATATTTGTGCCACTTAGCATTCAAGTCTCAAGATGCACCCATTTTCCTACAAATTACTCCCACGTACCTCTCTTCATGGCACAGTAATGCTCCACGGCATGTAAACACGCATTGTTTCTTTTTTTGTCTATTATCGATTGGTGACTGTCTAGGCTGTCTTCAAGATTGAGCTGTCATGAGTCATGCTGCTATAAACAGGGGTACTCGTGTAAGACTGTCACATGACACTTTAAACTATTTTGGGAAGATACCTAGAAGGGGATTTGCTAGGTCAAATGGGATTTCTATCTAGCTTTTTGAGGAATCTCCACACTGGTTTCTATAGTGATTATACTTAGTTTACGCTCCCACCAGCAATGTGGAAGGGTTTCTTTTTCTTCCCCATGTCAACATTTGCTATTTAAATCTTTTATTATTATTATTATTATTATTATTATTATTATTATTATATCTTTATTTTACCAGGAATCAAACCTAGGACCTTGTGCTTGCCAGGCTGGTGCTGTACCGCTGAGCTACATCCCCAGCTTAACAAAGTCTTAATGATAGTCATTCTTTCTGGAGTAGGGTGGAATCTCAGTCTTGTTTTGATTTATATTTCCCTAACACCCAAGATGCTGAACATTGGCTATTTGTACTTCTTTTTTTGAGAAGTGTCTGTTCATTTCAATTGCCCGATTTTTGATTGAGTCAGTTTGGGGGAGGATAAACTTTTTGGTTGTTTGTTCTAAGTATTAGTCCTCTATCTGAGGAATAGCTGGCAAAAAACATTTTTCCCATTCTGTTTCTCTCCACTCTGTTCCTTTGCATTTGGGTACTTTTTACTTTCATGTGATTCCATTTGTTGATTGTTGGTGTTATTCTTTTGCAATTGGGGTTCAGAAAGTTCTTGCCCATGCCCGTCAAGAGTTTTTACATATTTTACGTTCCAGCAGACTCAGTGTTTCTGTCTCGCTATCTAGCTCTTTGATCCATTTGGATTTGGTTTTGGTACAAAGTAACAGATCCGGATCTAGAGCCATTCTTCCAAGAGTGGGTGACAAGTTTTCCCGGCACTGTTTGTCCAGAAGGCTCTCCTTCTTCCCGCATATGTGTTTTGGCCCCTTGATTGAAGAATGTATGGCTGAAAGTGCCGGAGGTTGGTTCTGGGTCCTCAGTCTGTTTTTATGCCGGTACCATTCTGTTTTCCTTTTCACCACCGTGGCTTTGTGATATGACTTGAAATCCAGGATTTTGATGCCCGCTTTTACTCTTGTTGCCCAGGACTGCTTTTGCTATTCTGGGTCTCTTCAGGCTCTATATAAGTTTGAGGACTATTTTTTATAATTCTGAGAAGACTCATATTAGTATTTTGATTGTGATTGCATTAAATCTATATATCATTTTTGGTGATATGGCCTTTATCCCTAGCTGGGATAAAGGAATGTCTTTCTATTTTCTCGTGTTCTATTCCTGTTTTCAGAGAACTATCCTTTTTGTTATAGAGGTCTTTCACTGCTTTGGTTAGATTAGTGCCTAGATACTTAATCTTTTAACCTATTGTGAATGATATGGTTTTCCTGATTTCTTTCTCCGTGGGTTCATGGTTGGTATTCAGGAATACTGTTCATTTTTGTACTGATTTTGTACCCTGTGATTGCTGAACTTACCATGGAGGCTTTTGGTGTTTTTAGGGTCTTCTCTAGAGAGGATCATATAATCAGAGAGTAAGAATAGTTTGACTTCTTCCTTTCCTATACATATCTCTTTTATTCCTTTCTCTTGCCTGATCACTCTGGCTAAGGTTTCAAGTAGCATAATGAGATGAGTGGTGACAGTGGACCATGTTGTCTTGTCCTTGACAACACTTTAGTGTATTTCTTTTCTGAAATTTTCTGTGAAACACATCAACACATACACATGCACACTCAGGCAAACATATATAGAACAGATACACACACACACACATACACACACACACAGATCCTTCTTGGACAGCTGGGACAGGACTGGGTTCTTCCGGCCACGCATCCTTCCTCAAATTAAAACATGTTCATTTCTTTGGCTTGGCCTCTTTCACGGCTTCAAGACACATGCTTGTTACAAGGAAAGCTGGAATCATAGCCTGTTTTTCAGCTTTTCAAGGTAAACGAGCCTTTGTGTCTGAACATTCTGTCGTTACCCTGGATCAGGCAGCCAGCTTGTTTTATGGAATAATTCTACACTTTTGTTTATGGCAAGTAACCACGGGTGTGGCCTCAAGCAGGTCATTAACAGAACTTTCAAACACATTGGTCTGATTCCTTAGTAACCAGGTCTGGGCCAAGGTAAGCGTGGTGTTTCCCGGTATAAGAAGGTGGCCAGAAGGGCTTCGACACCAGAGCTGTGCATTCAGCTCTGCTTCCTGCCAGGCCCTCCCGTGAACACGACATTTAATGTCTAGAAAGTGTGTAAAGAATGTGAAAAACGTGCCTAACACACGTGTCTACAATGGCAGCTACAATGGGGCGAGCTCTGACCATGATCTGCGTGCTTTACACCCAGGAACCCATGAAGTCTGAGCCCGTCCCCTGCGCAGGTTTTCTCCTTATTCCTCACTTTATGGATGGAGAAGCTGAGGCACAGAGATCGCTATGCTTGCGTGTCTCGTGCCTGGAAGAGCAAGATGTGAGCGCTACAGTGTGGCTTCTGCGGCCTTCCTTGATTTCACTGTACTGTGCCTGTTAGTCACACACGTCACCAGTTACTGGGTGACGGGTTCTTTAGCATCCAATTAGAATGCCGGGAGTCACTCACTTTACAGAGATCCTGCCAAGATAGAGGAGCCCAACGTGTCGTCCTGTATTATTATGGAGCTGCTGCGATCACAGGACCCGGGGCCAGGACTGTGTCTCACTAGAGAGTTCAGTACCCAGAGGAAGCCTGGACAGCTGCCTGCTGCCTCCCAAAATCAGAGGAGCCTCTGATAGTCCACCATCATGAAGCCACCAGAGAGAAGAATCAGAGCCACACATCAGTGGCATTCGATGTGTGGCTTTTTGGCATGGGATATAGGGAGATTCGGTGCCTGCTTTGATCAGTCCCATGTGTCAGCAGTCTCCCGAGAGGACAAGATGCACGCAACTGACCACAGAGTTGCTTCCCTCCTCGCCTTGCCCCTTACCCCCAACACTGAGAACGCTGCTCAGGCAGGCGAGGAAGCCACAGGGCCTCGGGTCTTCTCCTCCCCAAGTCCCAGTCCTACTGCCACAGACCCTGGAGGAAGGGTATCCCTCAGTTGTCTGAGAGCCCTGCGGCAGGACACAAAGGGACAGAGTGGCCAAGAGAAGACAGCAAGAGCAAGACAGCCCAGCTCCTTCTTGTCCCTGCCAACAGATTCTACTGCACAGTCATCCTAACAGCTAATACGTGCGGACGCCTCGGCTCTGGAATTCCACCCATGTATCGTCAGGCTGGGGCAGTCATGAACATGCTAATATGATTGAAGGGTGAGTGTTTTAAAGAAGACTCTCAGGTGATGTGCCGAGTGATTGTGTCTACATAATAAGATTTTAGTGTTTTGAATTTTCCATCACAAAATGGAAAGATATATTTAACTTCTAATCCAAGAACAGCATCAAGTGAAGTCTTAAAGACAAATTATACTGCTGAAATAGCAGTGAAGACAGCGTCCGTGACATTCGCACCAGTCCAGGGAGACTTTGGGGAGAAAGCTGTCTTCTAGTTGGACCGAAAAACTGAGAATGATGCCAGGCGTGGAGGCACACACCTGTAATCCCAGCAGTCAGGAGGCTGAAGCAGGAGAGTTGATGAGAGCTCGAGGGCAGCCTGGACTACAAAGTGAGCCAAAGGCCAGCCTAACTGCACAGCAAAACCCTGTCTCAAAAAGAAAGAGAGGAGGAGGAGGAAGTATGGGAACTCTTGTTTTTACTGTATCAAATTTACGGGTTTGCTGTTGGGTTTCATGTTCCATGTGGAGTGGGCTCTGGCTTAGGTGTGGGCCCTGGGATCCAGGGCTCTATTTCTTTGCTGCCTCTCTCCTTTGTCCTCCATTTCATCCACTGCCTGGGAAATCACTGCAGAAGCTCAGGTCGACCTCGCCGGTCACCCACACCTTTGCTGTCCAGCTCCTTGTCCGAGTCAGGAGGCCCTCTGAGCTCTGACTTACATGTCACGTAAGCAAATTAATGTCCTGTTTTCTCTGTCTCTCCAGCCCCTCCTCAGAGATCAGCGGAGAAACCTCACAGGGAGACAGATTTGACAGCCCCAGAAAAGGAAGACGATGACGAGACGAAACCTGAAGTCAAGGTAAAATCACCTCGTAGAGATAGAAACTTCTGAGAGGAGAGGGCACTGCTGTAATTACCAGGAAATCAGCCAGCTCTGCTCCCCTACCCTGCCCTGAAGATGCGTCCACAGACCAGAGCTTTCAAGACCTGCAGAAGGTTCTTTTCCTCTTTTTCTCTCTCTTTCATTGCAACTAGAAATGAATACCATTTGCTTGTGTACGTAACTGCTGGTAGATACTGTTTTATTGGGAAGAAGTCATTTTATTCATTCCTATAATCTGACTTACAATTAAAGTTGGAAAACAGTGTGTAGAAAAAGCATGAAAGTTGTTTAGAGCTCTGCACGTGCACACACACACACATACACACTTACTCACACAGTGAGCTCTGAATAAGCTCAGTGGACTGTGCCAATGTGAGTTTTTCTGGTGTTGCTATTACACTAGGGTTGTGTAAGATGTTAACCCTGGTGGAGGTGGGGGAAAGGGCATGTGGGACTTCCCCATGTATTTCTTTGCTACCTCATGGCACTATATAATTATTTCAAAATAAAAGAAGCCAAGTATAAGTTTTGGACTCAGGCAGACCTGGGTGAAAGCCACATCCCTGCTCTAAGCCTTATTTTCTTGTCTGTAAAAGTAGGGATGACAGGACATGGATGTGGTGACACACATCTGTAATCACAGCGCTCTGGACAGCTGAGGCAGGAGGATTGCAAGTCTGAGCCCCTTCTCCCTGCTACCCTACTCCCTGGTAACTCAGCGACTTAGTGAGACCCTGTCTCAAAATTAAAAATACACATGAAAAACAGCTCAGGATGTAGCTCACTGTGAAGGCTCGGTGTCCAGTCCCCAGCACTATAAAAAGAAACAAACAACAGCAACAAAAAGACAGCTACCACCCGAGACCTTCCTTTCCTTCCATTGAGCATCAAATGGAAACTGAAAAAATTCCCAACACTGTCTCATTGTAAAGGAGTGGTATAGTCACAAACTCAATTCAAATGAATTGTGATAGAAAATAGTGTTCAGTGTTTTTATAAAATGCATTACAGTAAGAGACATGGCCACTAAACCCCGCCAGGATCCTCCCGCTCATCTGGGACATGCTCCTCCTGGAGCAGCTCTGGGGTCCTTTAGCTGTGCTCTGTGGCTGCCTCCGTGGGCTGTAGCCCACATTTCCCTCCTATGGTCACTTTGACTTGGAGGAGGAACCAGGACTTTCAGCGTCCCAGATCTGGTGAGCCGGGTGACAAAGGCCGCACTGTCATGTTTTCAGGAGCCCCCCTTCTGCTGGATGGTACTCAGTGGTGGCAGTCACCATATTGTTTTTTAATCACACTCCATAAAGACTTCCAGAACTGCTTCAAAACGTGGCAAGTGAACTCCCCCGTGATTGAGAGGCTGCAACGCCGCATCCTGGGGTAGGAAACCATTTGCAAGTACATTCTGCACGCTCAGCCGCATCGAAAAGGGAACAGGGTGAACACAATGGAACTCCACCGGGCTTGACACCCTCGAGCTGCTCGGGATCACGGAGTAATATTCACAAGGCTTCCCTATGGTCCTCCTCAGAAACAAGCATCAGCCTGTCCTTTTCTGTAGCTCAGTCTTAGGAGGGGACATCCTGTCTGAAGGTGAGGCTGTGTCCTGTGCACCAAAGCCCCGCTCTGGCCCCTGAGTTCTAGGCTCTTATTAATTCATGACAGATGTCAACACAATTCCCCTCTCTCTGACTTCCTTGAATCATCTTCAGGCAACATATCTGTGGCCTGAACACTCTAGAAGATGCCATGGGAATTTCAAGTACATGGAGGTTCTCTGTTGAAAACAAAAATTCAAACTGGAGTTAATCATTTCAGCAATTGCACATGGTAAATATGAGATCCACTATTTTATTTGCCATAAAAGGACAAAATGGATAAGCAGAAACAGGTAACGAATCAGAGGCCTATAGGATTGGAAAGCACTGGGTGGATTCCAAGGAGCACTGACCACTGGACTTCTGCTGTCTTCCTTCCCCTGCTGTGCTGCTCACTTAATTAGACTCCTTGACCATCCTCCTGAGAGGCCACCAGCCCTGTGTGCAGACAGAGGGCGTCTAAGCAGCACAGCACAGGTTAAAGTTGTGTTTCTGGGCTTTAATTGTTCTTTTCCTTCCTGTGTTTCATGAAGAGCTTTTCCCATGACTATGTGGATGCTGACAGTCAAGGTGGTGGAGGAAGCAAGGTAGGAACTCTGGCTTGTAAACACTCATGGCTGGGAGAAGAAATAGAAGCAGAACCGGAAAATCATCAACAACATGAGTGGGAAGAAAGCAGATTATGCCCCACGTCCCCAGATCCTAGACTGAAAAGTTTATTTAGGACCAACAAATGTGATGAACGTTTTATAAGCTGGGTTGTATGACCAGGGAAATTTTATTCTAAAATATATAAGGAAACTCATAGGGAGGAAAAAGGTACAGACTCATGTTTGCGTGGAGCATCAGTTCTTAAAGGGCATCCGACAGGTGTCAAAAGGCGGCCATCGGACGATGACCTGGATGTGGGGAGCGTGCCTGTGGCTCTCAGGGCGGCTTCTGCTCTGCTCTTGGCTGGAGGCCTAGAATTGAGATATGAAATGAAATCCCAGCCAGTGCAGCAGGGTGAGTCATCCATGGTGATGCCCCCTCTTATCCTGAAGAGTTAAGCACTTAGAGAAAAACAGCTGTGAATCAAAACTATCTGAGCCCACTACTATGTTCACTGCTGCTCTGTTTGCCAGGAAGAGCCTCGCAGGTGACCGGATTAGGGAATCGTTCTCAGAACGACACTCCCTCTTCCCCTCGGAGTGAGCCTAACACACCAGATCTTGACGCATGACAAGCCAAAACTGAGGAGGTGGCTGAGGTTGTCCCCAGGGCCTCTGGCCGTGGTGCCACCATGTGCCAACCTCATTGGGAAAGCCCAGAGATGTGCCACGGTTACTGGCAGTGATGCAGGTATTTCCTGTTCTTGACATCACAACAGGAAGCCGAAAGGGTGACTCATGGGAGCAGTTTTCCTGGCTGTCACTCCACAGCCTCTGCTGAAGACAGAAGCCAGAAGCTGAGGAGAACTTGGACCCACGGGACAAAAGGAAGAGCAAACGTTGTTCTGGGCCCTGGGCCTCTCCGGGCTTCTGAGCCAGTCTAAGAAGGTGTGGCTGTTCCAGAGCCCAGGCTGGAAGGGAAAGCAAAGGCGAGAAGACCATCACTGCCCTGACCAAAGGCCTGACGTCGTGCGAGTACCATCTCCTGTCCTCAGAACCTGTGCCGGGGACGAAGCTCCCTATGTTCTGTCAGCAGTGCTGCCAAGACTCTGAAAAGTTGAGTTTCCCCAAGGAAACTAGTCAATAGCAGAACTGGGACTTGAAACTAGTAGTTTATTAATCCAGCAGTTCATTTTTTTTTTACCTAGACTAATTTACCTACATGATTCTTTACTTAATCTACTAAACCCACAGTTAGATTAATCTCTCACACCCTAAATCTCTCTTCTACAAGATGAAGATAAATAACAAACACTACAACTTCCTGGGTGGTTAATGAGATAACTAACACGTGGGAAGCACTTAGCAGGCTGAGGGCCCTGTGCCAGGTTCTTAGTAGACTTGGGTTCCTCTTTAATCCTATGTCTAGAGACAGCAGATTCTAGGAAAAACTGAAAAGAGGCTAAAGGAAGATGAGCTTTGGGCCTTAAATAGGATTCTCCTTCATATGGGAACCTTTTTATCCAAAGGGTAACAGATCAAAGGCCATAATTAGTTCCTTGTCACTTTGACTCCCACAAGTTTTGGTTTAATTTTTCTGTGTGCAAAACAACGATCTCAACCACGACCACGTTTCCGGACTTGCCTTCTAGCGTCAGCTGACGAGAGGTTTAAGGCTGCCACCAAATCCTTGAGGCCACTGGGAGCCAAGCTCTCTGGAGTTTCTGGGATGACAATTCTCGGAGTTTTCTGCACACCATGGTTTGGAGATGCTCAGCAATGCAGATTCCTAGGCACCCCCACAAAGATCTCGAATCAAAGAAGTCTGAGGTTAGGTGTGAGAATCTGAATTCTTACTTGGATATTTGGGACCAGGGTCATATTTCTCTAGAACCCTGCCTTGGGCTGCTTCCAAGGTCGTGGAGAGTTGGGGCAAAGGGAGCTCAGTAAGTTGGATCTGGACCCTCAGGTCAATAAGGAACTCACCACTTAGAGGAGAGAACTGGTGATTATATTAAACTATGAGAATTATTTTTACTGAGGAAGGTGAATAAGAAAAAAAAAGAGAATTCCCTTAAGGACTGTTGGGCCTGAACTTTGACCTATAAAAGTTGACATGACCAAAATATTTAATGGATCTCATTCAGAAAACTTATTCAGCTCAGTTTAATGTGTTTCAGGACAACTGCCATGTCATGCGAATTATTTTATCTTTGTGCCTAAACTCAGGAAACTTGCACATTCTATGAGGGAAATACAGATAGGCAATAATTTGTAACATCTAGCACAATGACATATCTATTTAAAGGAATAGAGTAGGTTAAAGCATAGAGAAGGGAGGGTGGACTCTGAACCCCACATTAAAGGACAAATGCCACTTTGAGAGGTAAGTAAGACCGAGAAGGGATTCCAGATGAGGCCAGGAAGCCTGAGGGCCACAGGCTGTTCTGGGAATGGTTCAAGAGTGTGGGGAAGAGACAGGTTGCTGAGGGCTGTGGCTGAGGATGGCTGACAGGAGGAGGGCGTGTGCGTGATAGAAGGCAGCCGTGGCAGACAGCGAAGACCAGATGAAGATGACACCAATGCTGAGCGGAAAAGGAAGCTGGGTGGGAATCACACCTGTTGACACAAGTGTTTTTGACATGGCCTGGAACACTCGAGACTTGAAGATAAAGTGTGGTGAATGAGGGAGTATAGCTCAAGATGGAGGAGATAAGTAGGGGGAGAGCTTTATTAGTAGGGGCAAAGGGAAGGTTCTGATGAAGACTTTGAAGTCGCCATCTTGAGT